TTTCAGAGAAGTTAATTTCCCTATATTTGCGTGGACATTTCCTTTTTTTTAATCTTTCTATGTTGGTGTCGGTGTTTTGGAGGGAGCATTTTGCGGGGCCAGAGCAGCCGCGAGGTTAGAGCGTTTCCCCCGCGAGACGTCTCGGGTTTTGGGAGGCTGCACGGACAGATCCCTGGGAGAGCCCGCGCTTGGAGCTGCTCGCGGCTTTTAACTGAATGTCCTTGTGCATAGAGGGTTTCGCCACTTAGTGTCAAGTTGTCGCTTTTTACCCGATGTAATAGTTTAGCTGTTGGCGCCAGACAGACTGGAAACAATCCAGGCAATGACTCTAGAAGGAATTTGATTATTTTTTCAGCAATGTCATACCTCTGAGAGTATTTAAATGGCTCAGGGGATGAATCTCTTATTAAAAAGCAAACGCTCGATCATGCCGTAGTTATTTGAAAGCCAATAAATCAAGCCGCCCCAATGCGGTTCGAAGCCATGAGTTTGTTTCCCCGCACGGCTGCCGTAGCCTGCATTTCTATTCTAGTGTTTGTTTTTTCTATTTGTGCTGTTCGCGCAAGGCTGCAATTGCCGTCTTGAATTAATCTCTGTAAAGCGGATATTCACTCAGCTGGAAGTGATGCTTCACGCGCTGAGATTTCGCTTTTCGGTCAACTTGAATGCAGTCAAAGCCGCGACTTGCGGCAGGTGTTTAGTGTGCGGAGCTACGCCGTGGCGAGCTCGAAAACTTCTAGCGCTCATCCCAGCGCGCCACTTGGAGGGCACTTTCTCCAGGAACCGTAGTATATTCAAAAAGAAAAATAAAGGCTAGCTTTTTTCCATCGAATTTACCTACTATTCTTTTTTTAATGCTAAAATTCCACACTGTAAACATACGTACTTTCCGTCACGATTTCGTACTGTTCAGTCGATTCCCCAGAGCGCAATTGCTCTCGGGTACGAGACAACGAACAGTCACATTGGCCACTGTACAATAGGAGCTTACTGTTCAGACCAGCGTTTCAACATGACTATCCGCACGTCGATTGATTGCCCCCAATCCCTCAAGTGGTATTAAACGTTTTCATGTAAAGCGGAATATGAACCTGCGACACCCGACCCCTCCGATCAGGGCTCGACCAGCAGCATCAATGCCCGACAGTTTACGTCATCTCATCTTGTTATTACACTACTGATACGCGAACACACGGTCACATCGGCGATAATTCCAGTCTTCTGTTCACAACCCACAACACTGCAGTCATCACGATGTTGCTGCTATGTCGCTGACACGCACAAATACAGAACCACGTTGAACTCCGGTTGCACTCGGCATCGGAAAACAGAACCGAACTCAGCACGGAACGCACCCAGGCAGCCAGCAGCAAAACCTGCCTGTCTTGGACGCAGTTCCTGCGATTTCCATAAGTCGAAAACGTAGACACAGTTCTGCGTGGTTTCGCTAATGTACCGCGTGAGCCCCAAAATTTGGAGATAGCCATCCTACCTAGTGTACGTGGCGCTGCTGGCACTGCCCCGGAACTTCGCTGTTTCGAGCGGCTTCGTTTGCTCGTTTGATAAAGTGAGTTATAAAAACGTCGATGCAACCGAAACGTTCTGCACGTTTGGACTAGAAGACGGAATTACAGGCGGCCTTCGCTCCCGCTGAAGCTCAATCAACTCAACAACATTTATTAAACAACGTACTCGAACAACGAAACCGAAAGAAGATGAGTCGGGAGGGCGAAAGCTTTCTCCCGTCTGCCTGGAGAAGGAGAAAAACGTCTCGTTCCTCTCTTTTTTTCGTGTCCGCTTGGGGGCACGTCAGTAGAAGAGAGGAAGACGAGCCGTTGCTACTCTTTTCCTCCATTTTTTCTTAGAGTGTATGCCATCTGGTTCAAAACGCTAGCGCTACATTCGGGGCGGGGAGCGGGAGGGGGGGGGGGGGGGGGGGGATGAGAGTTGGGCGATGAGTAGCTCATTTTTACGGGGAAGAAACCACGGAACCTTTTTGTTTGGGACACGCTGAAGCATAGACCGATCTCAACGTAGAATAGGCTACCGATGCAGCAATTCATCGAGAGTCTTTTAGTATTCTGCAAGTGCGACAACCTCACTGGAGCTCTGGCCTCACGCAACCGCCGAACGCTTGGTGAGATCCGTCTCTTTCACGCTGTCTTCCGCAATACAACGGAGCAACATCCACTATAGACACTGACAAGATGAGAAGGGCACGGACGAGCTTCAGTCAGTTGCACTGCCTCCGGCGCAAGCTTTCTACCCTCGAGAACAATTAAGCGCCTCGTGCCATAGCCTCCTCTGTACTCACAAAGCCTTTCCGTTCGACGACGGAGCCATAGAGTGCCCGCTCGCAGATTAGGAGCGCGAGGATCTGGTAGCACAGAGCATCAAAGAGCCATTTCTAGGTAACCGGGACGTCAGCGCACAGCTTTTGCCGCAGCGACGACCCGAAACACACTTGTTCGCTCGAGAGAAGTGTGTGTCGGCGTCTCGCCGCAGCGTGGCGCCAGTCACGTTGCTTTCCTCTCATCCGTTCTCTGCCGCCCACCTTTTCCCTTTCGGCGGCCTCTTCTCGTGGCGATCTGCCAGGCTTTGTCAGTATATGGGACGCTATGCTCGCGCAAATCGCTGGATCGCGCACAGCCAAAGCACCACAGCAGGCGTGAAGCTTGTGCTAGGGACCGGGCGTTCGAATGATCCGCCCCGGCGTTCTCCCTCTGCCAGTGGTTATACCACAAACTACTCGGTTTACCTTTAAAAGAAACCGCACTGCCTATTTCTTATGTTTAATTTGAATAAGAGTCCTGTTCACAATATCAAATATACCCCACTGAACATAATATATCGCGGTCCGTTGCCTAAAGCTTCCTGAAAAGAAAATTAGGAAAAGAAGTGTTATTGAAAATTGTTTTGTTCACAAATACCCGAAGTGTATTTTCACAAAGTTTCATTCTTTCTTCCTGCAGAAATACAATGTTCCCAATAATTTGCGGTGCCCGGAGGCAAATAAAAGGAGAGATCTTGATATTTTTTCGTTTCCATTTTTTGCCCTACGAATTTGTTTAGTTACTTTTTGTACTGGAACGCGACTAACAACAAAATTTCCTTCTTCTTGCTGAAATGTAACGAGTAAAGCGCGCGAGTAATTATATTTTGTTGTTTTACTGATTGGTTTAATTTAAAATATTTTCTTCTTTGAAAACAGACAAATCGAAAATAATTCATTCTGAAGAGCAATGACACAGGGCGCTCATCTACTCTTTGTCCGTGTTTTTTTGGCGCTTATTTTCCCACGATGTACCAACTGGCCCATCTAAGCATTTTATTGAAGAGCAATAATAGCAAATAAATTACTCTTACAGTCTACACTCCAGACAATCTGTTCAGTGCCTAACAATAAGAAATTTTAGACGCTGTACTATGTCTATAACGGTGGATTAATCAGTGAATTTGGTATGTCTTTGAAAAAAAACGACCTTATTATATTCAAGTGAACGTACAGAGCTTGAGCGTTGCACAGCACCCTTTATCTTGACTGGCAGCATACACTTTTATTTATTATTTATTTTTAATTTCTAAGCCAGAAGTTTAGATTAGTTAACCCTTCTTGCTAATGTCATTCCTTAAAGAGTTGATATAAAGTGCGTTTCAATGCAGCGGTTTGTCGCATTTTGAAGGTTGAGAAGGCGCTCTCTTTTGTGTTTTTTTTTACTTGGTCTTGACACTCCGTAAGCGCGAGATGTGTAAAGCTTAGCGAGGACTGGGACACCTTGAGAAGACACCCAACTCCCGGAAACATTTCCAAGTGCTTACTCTTAGTCAGTACACGTCACTAAATGAACTTCCCCTACAATAACAATTTTAGCGAAATATTTGCTCACGAGACTCATTTTGATTTAGGAGATATTCCAGAATCTGTTTTTATACCTCGGACGTCAACACAAAAATAGAAGGATGTTTTCGATTCACCCCCGAAAACACTAAACCCTGCCCCCTCCCCCCTCCCCCCCAGAAAAAAAACAAAAAAAACATTTTAAGCGCGTGGACGAGACACGTACGTTCCCCGCCTAAGCACCAGCGTTCCCCGAAAAAAAAAAAAGAATTGCGCATTATTTAAGTCGCGAGACACTTTTGGATTATTAGGAGAGCCTTCAAAACATGCCTGCCATTTCGGGGTCGACTTTTCCAAATTGAGGTATGCTTTAAAATCAACCTCAAAGGGGCACTCAAGTGGATTGTGAGATCGTCCATTTATTGTCATAACTGAAACTACGGACTCTAAGCACCTTAAAAAAAAAAAGACGAAATCACATTGAATAGCAGCCGATTTCCCTATTAAAATAAAATGAAAATCGTGCCGCGCCCCTTTTTCTGTGCTGTAGCGCAAAACACCAGGGGTCGCCATTGAACGGGAAGGCAGTAGGGAAGGGCACGCGACAGCAAATCACGACTGGCGGCTTCTTTTTGGACTCATTTTTTCAATGCGCGCATATTAAAGAATTCAGCCCGCCAGGAAGCCTTCGTTCGTGATTGGCCGTCGCGTGCCCTCCCCTGCTGCCTTCCCGTCCAATGACGACCCCTGGTGTTCTGGGCTACGGCGCAAAAAGAGGGGAATGGCACGATCTTTGATTGAATTTTAATAGGGAAATCGGCAGCTCTTGAATGTGATTTCGGGTCTTTTTTCGATTCCTTAGAGCCCGTAGTTTAAGTTATGACAATAAAAATACAATCTCAGAATCCACTTGAGTGCACTATTAATTTTGAACGAGAAGTTATTTCGAAGCTTACCTCTATTTTGGCATGTCGTCCCGAAATAGCCTCGCGACCTAAATAACCTCGCTACCTAAATAAGCCAAATATCGGACAGTTTTATTTTCTGTCCTGGGAAATGTTTCATTCTTTGTTGCTGTCAAAAATGTCGTTTTCTTTCTCGTCACTTTTTTTATTTTTTTTTTAATTTTTAAAGATTTAGGCAAAATTTGAGCAGAACTCACTCGAGCCTCGAGTCATTCCGGAAGGCGAAGGCCGGGATGTAGGAGTAGCAGCGAGCACACGTCACGTGGCCGTATGTGACCGGGTCCAGGGCCTCACCGGTCTCGATCCGACACAAGCCCAATGCGTCGTTTCTGAACGCCGCACTTTCTTGAGTGTCGCTTTCCCGCTTGACGCTCTGGACCTGATAGGAGGAGACGCCTTGTGTAATAAAAACAGGGCCAGCGAACAATGAGACAAAACGGTAGGGACACCAGACCATAAAGCAGACAATGCGGGCAACGAGTGACAGGCAACACCAAGAGGCATCAAAACAAGCGGGAGAACTAGCAATCAACGAAACCAACGTCCAAAACAACGACCTACCAAGTCGCGCAGTTCTGTGGGTCAAAGCTTTTTTTTGTTGTTGTTGTTTTTTTGCCTGGAAGTAGAGGTTATTAATGAACCCAAAGAAGACAAGGTAGAGCAAAACCTAACCTTCATTGGTCAAAGGGTCTAACATCTTTTGGCCTAAATTGCTAAATAAGCGCCACCGTTTGGCTGTACTTAGTTGTTCGGTTTTCGCATGGGAACTTTGAGCCAAAATTGTTAAACAAGTGCCAGATTAAAGGCTGTTCACACACTTGTGACTGCTTAAGACCGTGTACTCTTAACCGTCTAAAACCTCTTACGACGAGACAACACGCTGGCGCCACCTTGGGTAGCCCTGGCACCTAAACATTTCCCATATTTTTTTTCTATTTTTTTTCGCGAATCATTTTCTTGTCAGTTAAATATATTTTTACAATGTTATAAACGATCATTTCTCATAGATAGTACGTACAGTTGAACTCGCCAGTACAGCAAAACCTTCGCTCTAGTCAGATGCTGTTCCAGGGTCGTCTTACAAATGGCTCAGCATGCAAGCCTGTCTTCTCGTAGTTAAAGATCACAAGAACTCGGTCCTAAGCAAACGCGAGGGTGTGAACGGGTTTTTAGGCTTCACCTATGGTTCTTTGGGTCAAACGAGGCATCTTTGACTTGAGTTTGGCACTTAGAAAATTAGGTGGCGAGTCAGGAAAAAGCCATCAGGAGGCCAAAGTAAAGTTATCCCGCATTAACTAAAGATTCAGAGCAAAACAGCATTAGGCTCAAGTTAGGCCCCAAGAACTGCTAAGGTGTGCAAAGTTAGACATTTTTCTGGCGTGTTATTTATGAATCGATGAAGTAATTAAGAAGGCCAACGAACAACGAAGCATAAACTCTCGGTCCGCAGAAGCAATAGTTAAAGCCATGAGGTTTCAGCGCGCAGCAGAAGCTATACGTACAAGAACAAGCTCCGGGCTTTCAGCGTCCCTGCCAAGCGTGCGCGCAAGCACGGGGACTACAAGCACCATTCTGGTAAACATAATCATGCTTCTATATCTTTGGCCCTACTCGTACATAATGGGGCATCCACAAGAAGGAGAAATCAGCCAGTCTCCTTCGCGGATGGCACATCAAGTGAGACATACGTCATCTAAATTTTGACGCCTCGCGGCGCCGTCCTCCTCCGTGGCGGAGGCCCAGAGGCTTTGTTTTGTCAGCACCAAAGCTCCGCGGAGGGGCGGCGGAGTAGTTCGCATTTAGCTGCTTTTAGCGATTCTCTTTTCCCTGGGCTGGCCACTGGGGCCACCGTGTTTTTTTCGCGCTTTCGGAATTGCCTGCGCCATTACTGTTTCATTAGCGCGGTGGTAGAATGTCAAAGATGAATGACGACGCCATGGGTTTTCGCGCTCACAGGACGCCTCTTTAGTTGTTTGCCTCTGTATTTGAGGGTGGACGCAAGCGGGTAGTTCAACGAAGGCGTCAGGGGGCATTCGAAGGAGTATTCGATACCCCACTGAGTCGCTTTCTAGCAGTTCTTTGTACAACTGGTTCTGTACACCAAGTTCTTTCTTTTCCATCCAACCTTTCACCCAGAGCTTTCCCTTGGTAAGTAAAAGGTCGTTGTCCGTTTCTAGCAGCGCTGGTGCCATAACGGCATACCGCCATTTCATCTGCGCCTCCATTTTCCTCGACTCTCACGCTCTCTTCAGCGTGCTCCCAGCGTTGTTGTCGAGAGTGAAACCACTGAATTCGGCTGGTAAGACTTATATCCCTCAAGGCTCCCCGTCGTCCGTGTGGATGCTGGAGCCAAGGACGGAGTTTCACGTGTTGCTGACGTCACGACATCCGTCCACTGAGTTCTCTTTCGTGTAGATACCCTTAAGGTGAGACAAACTAGGTAGTTTTTACTGCATTTAAGGTGAAAAGGTAGGAGCATAGGTATATCGGCAGATAGTAAGAGCTAACGACCTCACCAATACTTTTAAACATGGTGGCTCCGCTCAACGCGCAGATCCAAGTGCCCGACAATCAAATCATATTTGTTTATCAGCGCATTTACTTTAACATTAATTATCTTGATATAGAGTAACGCGCCAAGTATTATTGCGCCCTAAGATATGATAAAATTAGTAATAATATTAATACTAATACTGCGACGCATGACCTCCTGAAAAGTGCCTATCTGGTTACCTTTCTTCATAGCTCGCAGAGAGGAAATTTCAACGATCTACCTTTGTTGAATCTTAGAAAACGTCTTGATCGAGAAATTTATATTTAAGTTGGACGTTTAAAAGCGATGTTTCACAAGTTCGGAGATGTTCTACAGTCGCTTGTGTGTGTTTCTGTGTACGTGCGTATGTGCGCACGCGCGTGCGTGTGTGTGAGTCTGTACGTTTTTTGTCAACATATTCTGGGCAAGGTAATTAGTCGTATCTCCCTTTTTGTCTAAATAGATTGTTTCGGGTGACAGATACGTCGAAACGCAAGTTGACGACGATGCATGGCTGCAAATAAAATATAACTAGTTTATATTTAAGACCATATAGACACTAAGCCCTGCGAATATTTGTTATCCCAAATGGTAGCTACTGATCACTAAGCCTTGCGAATATTTGTTATCCCAAATGGTAGCTACTGATCCATCCGTACACAAGTTCCTACGCAAACATTGCAAATCTGAACTTCAAAAGTGGCATCTAATCAATAGGAGCTCTATTTAAAATCAGTAAAGCACATACGGTATGAAAACTATAGTGTCATATCTAACGGAGAGCTTACTAAACTCGGCATTCAATGGGCGTAGTGCTTCTCAGCTGTCAAAAGTCTAACAAACAAGGAATCCCCGAGAATAAAGTGGAGGAGCCAATCGGAGCTAGGTAGTCACTCTTTTGTATGATCAAACAATTGCCTAAACAAGTATGCGCAGGGGTGAATTTGGGGGGGGGGGGGGGGGGGGGGGGGGAAGCGACCGCCCTCCCCCCTCTACCCCTAAGCTCCTCAAGGACTACTTTGTTTTAATCAAATCATTGATGTACACCAGTCAAAAGTTTAGGTTTTTGTGACATAGCAAATATTGGGTCAACAAAATGGATCTCGGCAACGTTTCAACCGCAACATCATATTTTCACGAATGACAATTGATGAAGTGATAGCTCAAAAACTAAACGCTTAATGGGGTGAAATTTTGCCCAAAACAAAAAGGAATCAGAAGGTACCAACAGAGCGTCGCCAGGCACGACAGCCAAACACTAACCATTCGGCCACGTACGCGCTCGCTCAGCGTCGCGTGTGTCATTACTCCCCCCCCCCCCCCCCCCCCCCCTTTAGAAGCGCATTGTCTGGATGCCACGTGCCGGGATATGAAACAGAAAAACATATAAACATATGTTCAAACTAAGGAGACATGTAGAAAAACAATTCCATCGAGCGTAGTACAAAACGCAATTCGCAGTCCTATCAATAGCAGCATGGCTTGCGGCGCACGACGTGAACGATATCCGGTCGGGGAGGGCGGCGTGATGGAGTCCGTGTGCCGTCGAGCATCACCTCGTAATTCAGATCCCTGAGTCGACGAAGCACTTTGTAGGGTCCGAAGTAGCGCTTCGGGAGTTTCTCGCTTAGACTGTGTCGTCGCATCGAGGTCTAAACACACACAGGGTCTCCGGGCTTGAAGCGAACGTCGATCCGGCAAAGGTTGTACCGGATAGCGTGAACACATCGTTGATCTTGAATTCGGAGTCGGGCGAGCTGGCGAACTGCTTCGGCTCGTTGAGCAAACGCCTGGGCGTCGGGTCACCCATCGTCAGCTGGTTCGTGGGGCAGCATCTCATTGAGCATGATCGTTAGTTTTCCGCCATGTACCAGCTGAAGCGGTGTAACCCCTGTGGTCTCTGGCACCGCCGTGTTGTAAGCAAACATGACGTAGGGTAACAACTCGTCCCGAGTCTTATGCTCTACATGGAAGTACATGGAGATCATGTCGGCGAAAGACTTGTTTAGCTGTTCTGTTAGTCCATTTGTCTGCAGATGGTACGCAGTGGTTCGGAGGTGCCTGGTGCTACTGAGACGAAGGATCTCTTGCGTCAGCTGGGCCATGAACGATGATCAAATGAGGACTTCTGGGGCGCCGAGCCGGAAGGCAATGAACTCGATGAAAAACTTGGCGATTTCAACAGCCGTACTTGATGGAAGGGTTTTCGTCTCGGCGTACCATGCAAGATAACCGGTCGCGGGGATTATTCATATCTTTCCTTACGTCGATGGTGGGAAAGGACCAAGTCGATCCGTTCCGACGTGCTGGAATGGTGCGATTGGGGGAGCAATCGGCTGCAGGAGACCTGCCGGCTTAGTCGGCCAATTGTTACATCGCAGGCACTCGTGGTACGATTGTGTGTAAAGGTGGGCGGTCTTCAGGGGCTTGGGCCAGTAATACCTTTCACGAATTCGGGTCACCGTACGGCTGTAATCAAGGTGTCCAGACGTCGGGTCGTCGTGGTAGGCTTGGAATATCTCCTCTCTAAAGTCGGTAGGGATTACCAGCAGCCATGGCGAGTTGTTGTCTACGAAATTTTCCTAGCAAGGTACACCTTATCGTAGGACGAAGGTCGGCAGGGCTCTCGGGAAGACACGGGAAATAGTACCCCCTCGTCCTTCGAGGTGCTCGGTCAGCGCGAGCAACTCAGAATCGTCTCTTTGACGTCGTGCCATTTCGTCGGTGTTCATCGCGCCTAGGAAGCACTCGTCGTCATCGTCGTCACTGCTACCGGGAGGTGTCTCGAGAGGGGCTGTGAACAAGCAGTCGGCGTCGCTGTGCTTGTGGCCTGACTTCTAGACCACATTCACGTTGAACTCCTGCAGTCGGAGACTCCATCGAGTGAGGCGTCCTGGAGGGTCCTTTAGAATCGCAAGCCAGCA